GTCTCTTTTCTTTTCTTTTCTTTTCTTCTCTCTTCTCCTTTCTTGTCTCTCTTCTCTTCTCTTCCCTTCTCATCTCTTCTATCTTTAGTCTGTCTCTCTGTTTCTCTCTTTGTCTGTGTCTCTCTGTTTCTCTTTTTGTCTGTCTCTCTTTGTCAGTGTCTCTCTGTTTCTCTTTTTATCTCTCTCTCTCTTTTTTGTCTTTTTGTCTGTCTCTCTCTTTCTCTCATTGTCTCTGGATATTACAATTACAAAGAAATTTTACTTTCTTAGATGCAGCACAGTGTCTCTCAGGAGGACGTTGTGAGAGGATTACAAGATCAGAAGATGAAGGATGTGGTTTATGACATAGCAAGTATTGCCCATCAACACATTGAGCATGTGAGTCGTCTGTGATGCATCTTTTGTTGCCAGGACTTTCATTAAGGGTTCCACTTGTGTTTGACTCTGGGGCAGTATTCACAAAAAGTTTATTGACTCTGAAATTTGTCTTTGATGGAAAAAATAGTCTTTAACTCCTAGGATTTTGTATATTACTCCTCTTGAAAAATGTTCTAACACCTGGTTTTCATCTATGATTTGGCTGATATTAAAATCAGGTCTGGGGATGTCCCACACATTTAAGGACTCTCTTTAAATTGTCCTTATGAGACGCCTATAACAACCTGTCATTTTACAATTGTTGAAAATAATTCTGCATCAGAAGTAATATGGAAAACTTTCCTGCTACTTTTTTACTAAGGATGTTTCCTACTTATTTACTGTAATTTTCTCATAGATAAATGCATATGGCAACTTTGTTATGATTGCATCAGCTGATGCGTCATGACAAATGTTGAGGGTGCCACTTAAACATATAAAAGATATTAGATAAGTAATATCATAGTCAGAATATATGTGAGGTTCACTGCAATAGTAATTTTATATAACTTTTACTCAATTATTATGATAGTCTTCTAAAATGTAAATTTTTGTTCTAATATTGTGTTAGCTTTGAAATGTGGACTCTGTGTGTCACAGACAAAATTGCTCATAGCAGTCTTTAGACTAAAGAGTCAAAGACTTTTTTTTAGGAAAATTCTAAGGCCTTTTATGAATACTGCCCCTGGCTTTTGAAATATATGTTTTTTGATATTAAAGAGTTGAACTGCCAGTTTTGCATTGGTACTGCCACCTGGTGTAAATACTTTTCATATTCATTAAATATTCTTGCTTTTTCTATTACTTTTATAACCCCCCTCCCTTTTGAAGCATTTGTGACTTGACATAGGAATTCCACAGTATTGTGGATATGTGATAAGAAGGTGAAGTTGCCTGTTTTATATTGATGTATCAGAAGGCTTAAAATTAACATTGACATTTTATTTTAATGTATACATAAAATCTAAACTGGTGTATCCTTTTCAGGCAAGGAGCTTCATAAAGGATGTACCTGAAGAAGCTCGCGTTGCTCTTATTCCAAGTACGGCAGTGTTTGCTTACCTTAAGGCACTGCAGAAAGCAGACTTCAATATCTTTGATGGGAGTCTCCAGAAGAGAAATAGTTGGCTACCATTTACATTGTGGTGGGCAAAATTTACGAAAACTTATTGATCTTTTCATTCTTTAGTTCTGTTAATTTTGTAAAATAAAACAAGTTACATGGTGGAGTCATTATTGTGTTTAATATTGTCCTTTTCATAGAATCATTACAGCATAGCATATTCTTGCATTGTGTCCTAATTTTTGTGTCTAATTTTCCTTCTGACATGCCGCTATGTTTTGTGGATATTTTTAATATAAAGTAATGCTGTAAACTTTTTTTTTTTCATCGCATTTAATCTGTAAACCAAACTTGTGTTATGAATAAAAAGTTTGTCAATGCAAACCTTTTGAAGGAAAGAATTGGTGCCTTTCCAAATTTTGAAATGTCACCAAAAATAACTGACATATTTTTAACTTTCACATATTCATGAAATTTAATTCTCAACCTTATACAAATAAATGGGGTGTAAATGAAGATTCATATTTATTCATATTTATATTTCATACAAGTATTTACACTGGATATCTTCAAAACAGGTTACTGATGATACTTTATACAAATGGACTTTCATGAACACACTTTTGCACCAGACATATCTTATACTCCTAATCTTAACATTCTGATTACTGTTCAAAGGCTTTGGATAGGTATTTATCATTCCAGACATCAACTAATTTTCTACCTAACTGTGAACAAAGTTCACATCATCTGACAATTGTTCGTTTCTTGTGCTTTGAAGACATATAATTTTTTAATAAAAGTCAGTACAATAGATACAAATAAATTCTCACAATTTAAACTGATCATAATTCCAATTACATATATAAAAATATAAAAAGTTATGCCTGAATTAACACACACACAATAACAACAAACTGAATGAACACAAATATTTATGAACTTCAAACTGGATGCACAAGTGGAAATGGTATTATTTACACCATTGGTGGAGAAGAGTTGGATACATGACAGGACACAGAAATCTGAGCAATAAAAAGATTCATTAAAAAATCTGATGTTATACATACACTAGAAAGTGTATGAAACATTCTGAAAACTGGGTTTAAGGTGAATCTGGATCAAATGGAGCTAAAGTTCATAATGGCACAATCTTGCCTTGAGCAAGACAAAGAATTAATGAAGAGAATATCATGTCTAAAATATTTAATAACATGCACATATGAGAAAAATATTTGGAATGTAACCACAACAAGTCTGTAGAGAGCAGAAGCAGTCTTGTGTGTTAGTCCACAGGTCTAACCATCACTAGTGTCTCAGAACCTTCAGCTAACCAGCCGGAGCAGACATTACCACCTTTCCCACTGTGGTGACTTCAGAGTAGGCCCGTGAATATATAGCATCGCTGCTTCAGAGGAGAGGTTGGTCTTTGGTGACAGGTTGCACAACAGCAAGTTCATTTCAATACCTATTAAAAAGAAATTTTATTACTCACTGGAGAAACAGGCTTCGGAATAACACATTTACCGCAGTGTGGATATGGGATGAATATCTCTATACCAGTAAAAAATAGGAATGGCCTATCAAAATAAGCATATTGACAAAGTTGTGACTTTCTTTCTTCTACATGCAAATATTATGTTTTCAAAATCTTAATGCTGAGATATATTTTTCCTTTTATTAACCCACTGGGGCTTGGTACATAAACTGCCCATTGTAGTTTTGTCATATCAACTTTGTTTAAACACATATGGTTTCACAGGTGCTTTAGTCACTAAGGAATCAACTTCTGGTCCTATCTGACACCTTGTTCCTTGAATGTTAGGGAAAAAAGTTTTTATTTCTAATGCTACTATCATCATTATGAACATTAATATTATCACCATCATCATTGTTATTATTATTGATATTTTCATCAAAATACCAACAAAAGTAACAAAAATAAAAACTTTTCTTTCTGAAAATTCATGCACTTAAGTAAACAGGGAAGCCTAGTAAATGATTCCTTGGTGACTTTACACTTTTGGTGCCATTTATATGTAAACAAAATCAACAAGCTAAAATCACAGTGGACAGGGCATCTCGCATCAACGGATTAAAAAAATCTTCTTGTACATTACTAACTGCTATATATCAGTTTTGTAATAAAATGTGCCAATGCATGCAAGACAGGGCATAACAACAAGGAATCTTTTAAGTGACTACTGATTAGTATCTCTTGGTGTCATCATCGAGTGACACAAAAAGGAGAAAGGAGATGAAAAGAAAAAAAGATAGAAAAACCATGCAAATGTAAAGCAAATCATTCCACAGTCCTTACCTTTCTTTCTTCTCCTCCCTGGAACTTTGTCTAAGAACAGCTGGCTTGGCACTTGTAGGTGAATCTCTTTCAAATATGGCTGCCATATCTTTGATACGTCTCTGTTGTCCAGCATTTGCCCTGGCTGCCGCGTTTCCAGCAGCAGCTACAGTGCTCCCTTCACTGCTACTCTCTCCTAGTTTCCCAGGTGATCTCAGGGATGACTTTGTGGGAGAAGGTGGGGTTCCCTTCAAGATAGTAGGGGAAGGTGGCATGCCTTTAGGAATGCCAGAAGGGGGATGAATTGGTTTTGGTATTCCTGGGGACGGGGGAGTGGCTTTCGGAATTGAAGTTTTTTTCGTTGGAGATGTGGGAACAGGATTTTTCTTCAGTGTGGGTTCTTTTGGGATTCTCTGCTCTGGTTTCTTTGTAACAGACTTTTCTGTCTTTTGCATTTTGTCGCCTTTTTCAGGAGATGGAGGGTCCTTGACTCTACTGTTGCTCCAAATTGCTACTCGCTCCTTCACATTGACATCTTCATCAATATCATCTTTGGAATTCTTTCTACGTCCACTCCCCCCAATACTCGCTGATCTCTGGAAAGGTGATGCTTCTGAACTTGGAGATTTTAGCGAACTTGACGAAGTCTTTCTTACAGGACTAGATTTTGATTCCCCACTGCTAGATCTTTGAAGGAGAACTTCCTTCTCTGGAGATTTTCTTAGATTGGAACGTGGACTTGTCACTCCAGACTTAGTGCCACTTCCTCCACCACTGTTACTGTTACCACTACTAAGGCTTCGTTGAGATGTTGGAGTTGGACTGCCAGATGAGAAGCGAGTCCTTGTTGGACTTCTAAGTTCACCAACTCTGCCCATATCACTCAAACTCCTCCTTGCTGGTGAAGTTCTCTTGAATACTGAAGACTGATCCTGTTCTTCCTTCATTTCTGCACCCAAGGGTGGATCTAAAGAATGTTTATCATCATTATCTCCTAAAAGTTGTTTAGTAGGACTAGTACTTCCTGAATAGCCTTCATAATATTGTTTGGTGGGGCTCTTATCATCTCTTCGCCTTGGGCTTACAGATCTAGCATTTGAACTTTGGGTCATCTCCTCGTCTTCCCGTCCATCGCTGTCTTCTTGTCGGGATGGACTTGTGGCCTTCTGCTTCAGCCTTAACAGTAGCTCATCTTTCTCTCCTCGAAAACTCTCTGATTTGTACTTTTCCCTCAAGAAGGATCTCCTTTCCTCCTTGTATTTTTCAATTCTTTCTCTCTTTTCTTTATCGGTGAGATCTAAAGAGCCACTCACAAGGCTGATGTGTTTATTAGCATCCTCTGCTTCCTTGGTCAAATTATCTTGAAAAACTACAGAATCCTCAGAGTCTTTAACCTTCGGTCTGAAATCTGGAGAAGTCTTATACCTCTGAAGAACTGGTAACTGTGCAGATGGCACAGACCTCCCTTCTGCCTCAGTTTTTGATTCAGTACTAACACTTTCTACAGGTATTACTGACTCCAGCAATTCAGAAACCTTTGGTTCTACTATACCAACACAAGGATTTTCTTCCCCTGTTACTTGGGGGACTTTCTGTTTGTCTAAATGCATCTGCTCAGCTTTCTGTGTATTAACAGCAATGGGTAATTGACTAGGTTGGAATATCTGATGTGGAGTATTTTCTTCTGTTGGTGTAGCATGAGCAGAAGCACCACTAGGTGTACCAGGGGTTGCAGGGGAATCTGGAGAGATGGACACTGAAGAAGGAGTGGACACCGGAGAGATTAGTGGAGAGGATAGATTTAGTTTGGGTAATTGACGAGGACGTGGTACGGGTGCAGCTATTGGTGTATGGCGAGGTGTCGTTCTAGGCCATGGTGCAGGGGATATAATACTTGTTAGAGTTCTGTTAGGAGTAGAGGTGGCAGCAGGAGGTACTGGTACATTTTCAGGAGTAGGAGGTGAAAGGCTGGGTAATAAGGGTGGTATCATCCCTGGAGAAGAAGGACATTGATCAAGAGGTTCTTGGGTGTGTTTAGGAGAACTGGCATCATCACTACTTACTGGGGAGGTCACATCATCTGTTGTGGACTCTGTTGGGGAGGCAAATGAAGGGAGAACCAAGACCTCAGTTGCCATACTCGCTGAAGAGGGAGTAACAGGTGAGTCTAAGCACTCACTATCTTCACTGGGCTGGGTACACAAATCACCAACTACAGTAGCCTGCTCAGGCTGGGGTAAAAATTCCTGGGAACATGGCAGGTTTTCCGAAGGTCTGGGAACACAAGTGTTGCCCATCTGAGGCACCTGGACTGGAAGCTCTGAAGATTTGTCATTGATGTCCACCTTGTGTGCAACTGCATTACTATCAGTAACACCTGCAGTATCTACACCAGATTCTTTCAAGACCTGCTTTCCTTCACTATTCACCTTCAACATGTCATTCACCTCTTGAATTGACTTTCGTAGGAACTTTACCTGTTGGTACACCATCTCTCCTTCAATTTCAGCATCACTCTTTTCATCTTTCACTACCTTTTCAGGAAGGGCACTTGCCTGAGAGGTAAATTCAATGTTTTCATACTCGGGCTGATCTCTGAAAGAATATTCTTCATAAGCATCGTCACCATCAGGCACAATCTGGTCCTGCTCATCGCCACTCTCCTCTAGGTTTTCATATACTGGTAGAGAGTCTTTTGCTGGAGTTTCTACATTTTCATAGACACTGTCCACATCCATGGCAACTTCACTTTGTGCAAGAGTTACATTCTCATAACAAAAGTCATCTTCTGAGGTACTAACACCTTCGTAATTCCCTTGCACTATTTCTCTGTCACCAGCCACTTTCTTGATTCCCTCATTTTTCTCCTTCTCTTTCTCATACTCAACATTCTGATATTCTGGTGCGTAGTCCACATTCTCATACTCAGCACCATAGTGAACGTTTTCATACTCAGAACCATAATTGCAATTTTCGTACTCAGAACCTGGTACATCTGGCTCCAGTAGCATTTGTCCACTTGTCTGTGAGGACTGAAAACTAGCTTGGGAAGACTGAAGGCTAGAAGAAGACAACAATGGTTTAGGTTCATCATATGTAACCTCCGCCTTCTGCATTGGTTGTCCAGTAATACTTACATCTACATTTTCATACATAGGACCATCTTCAGCTGGGTCATCACTACTGCTAAGGTCTATGGATAATGGACTTGACTGTCTAGGTTCTTCTATAACAGGTGGGTGTGCCACAATCTGTCCACTGCCAACCAGATCTTGGACAAACTGAGACTCACTTGGTGTTGAAGGTTCAGTTGTGTCACTCAGGGGATGATACTGGATCTCGAGGAATGTGGAGTCTCCCTGCGGTGTCTCTGGGGAAGTCAGAGCTGATCCTAAAGTGAGGAGTTCTGCAGTTGGTAGCCCAAGCAATGAGTTTGGTCGAGATTTGGGCAATTCCTGCTGTGGAGTGAGGTCCTCCATGGCAGGAGAGACAGGGAGTGAATTAGCACTTTCAGCAATGATTGTGACCGGAGGTGTACCTGGGGTTACCAGAGTAGAGGAAGATGATGGAAGAAGACTACCATGATCTGATCCAATCTCTTTTGATTCCCCAGTTACACCACTACTCATACTTCCCAAAGTGAAGCTCTCATTATCAGATACAGTGGCCTCTGCTACAGAGGTACTGCTCATTTCTGATGCGCTGACTGAAGGTGAAGTTCTTAAATGTGTAATTTTATCCAAAAGCTCGGGATCTATCAGAGCACTGTCTAAACTCTGCCTCGAACGTGCATCCTCTGACCCTCGACTCCCTGGCTCTACATGCACTTCTGCTGTCACAGTCTCTATGCTTCCCTCGCACTCCATGGTAACTTTTGGTCCAGATAAAAATTCAGACTGATCTGTTTTTAAGTGCTGATTGCCCTTATTAGTTTCTGTTGTGCGCACATGCTTCAGTTTGGGTGAACTACTTGGAGAGGCCGGTCTCGGTGCGACTTCGTTTCTTCTGCGTGCCGTCTCAGGACTGAGGGCATGAACTATCTTATCCTTCAGTGATGTTGATGCTCTCTTGAGGCTGTTGTTCCTCGAGTCCTCACTGGAATCACTGACATAAGCCTCATTCTTGCGCTGTGTAGGTGGAGATGTGAACCGGTACTTTATTTTGTCTTTTAGACTTTTCTTCTCTACTTTGGGACTCAAATTCTCTTTGCTTCTGCCAGTCTCTGAACACATGCTCAAATTTTCCATGTCTAAAGTTGAACTAGACATGTTATCTGGATCCTCCACTGACGTAGACTTGAGAGTATCAACCTCAAAACCTTTCAGGTCTTTCTCACTGGTGCTGAAGTTCAGGTCAAGCTCACTTATATCCAAGTGTATTCTTGAAGTCTCTGGGGAGAAGTCCAGGTCACTCTCACCTTCCTCTTTCACCGGTACTTGTGAGGACACATTTCCCGACCGACCTTCCAGCATGTTGAAGTAGGAGTCATGCGAGACCGAGCGGTTGTGTGTCCTTGGGGAAGGGATGGGGCTGGACAGGGAACTACTTCTACTTTCCTTTTCATCCTGTGGAGACCTCTCCAGACTCTCCCAGTCGAAGGCTTCACGCTTTTCTGGAGAATCCATCATCTAAAAGATAAAAAAGAAACACAGTGCTGTTACATAAACCAGGCATGTGTTAAGTGGACTTTAAAGATTACGTACTTCTTACATCACTTCCATACTTGCTGGTGATTCTTTTATTTTACCTGTATTCACATTACAAAACAAAAAGACCTCATTTTGATTTTTCCATTGTTTATAATAGCTTACTAGTGCTCATAGTTCAACAATCCATCTCTGGCAATACTATTTTTTTTTATATGAATATACTGTCTTGTTACATTCTCAGGTATGTAACATTCCACTTATGGTATAAAAAGTAGAAGCATACTATTCTGATTCTTCCCATAACAAGGATGAATAACTCTTACAGCAGCTCATAAGTATTTTCTTATAAGCACTACCAACAGTGGCCATAGAAATTATAAAAAATTATAAAAAACTAAAACAATGATAATAATAATAATAATAATAACAATAGTGATAATAAAAGTAATAATAATAATATTAAAGCTAATAATATCAATAATAAATTTTTAAAATAATAATTATAATGAAAATAATAACAGGAACAAGAACAGGAACACCAACAAGAATAATACTAATGATTCCCTAAAAAATCATAGCCATAATAATAACAGTCATAATAGTAGCAATAATAGCTCTAATAGTAATGCTAATTATAATGAATTTTCTTTAAAAAAAAAATAATAATAATAAATAAAAGATTTTATAAGTACTACCAAGACTTCTCCTCGCATATCTTCATCACTACTGCATGCACGTAAAGCTTCCACTAGCATCTACTCTACCACTATTTGTATAAGTTCCTCCAGAAAGCTCCTAGTTGATTCACAAAAGCATCGGAATGTCGCCATGCAAAATAATGATTATAATAATAACAATACTCTCTCACCTATCAGTTGTCATTATTCCTAGAAGCCCTTCCATCAATTTTCCTAATGACTTCAAATTCCAAATCTCCAAATTACCAGGTAGTGTGTAATGTATATTAATGTAAAGCCATCTTATTACAAATGAAAATAAAAAGAGCATGAGTGAATACCATGAACTAAACTGCCCAGTTCATTTCTCATTAGAAGGTTATAAATCATAAATAAATGACAAATAAATCAAAATGATGAATGCATAAATCATTTTCTCCAAATGACTTGCATAGTTACTCCCCTCCCCTTACAAAATAATCTCCGACTCTTATTAATAACAATCAGAGTGGAACGTTCACCGTGAACAAGTTGTAAGCAAAACAACGAAGGGAAGAGAAGGAAAACAAAAATTAAACTGAAGGACTTTTCGCTACATCGACCTACAGAAGCAGAGAAGTGAAAAGGCCTAGAGTATACTTGTGTGTCTTCCTGCTCTTCCGTTAGTCACTTTGTTTATAACAGTCAAAGTCTCCCTGGTGATAAAAATGACATCATTTTTTAAAGCATGTTAAAAATAATACTTCTGATGGAGGCATGCAAACACAGCTTTAGTGATGTAAACAAACAAAAAGAAATTGCCAAAGTTAAGGGTGATGGACAATTGATAACATGAGCAAAAAAAGAAAAAAAGAAAAAAGAAAGAAAAATTTTTAAAGAAATGTCTAGATAAAATCAAAATGAGTAGATTTTGAGTAGAAAATAAATATATGTGATGGGTGTAACAGTGAGATGATATATCTTTAACCTCTACTTTACAAAATAAAAAAAAAAGTATTTGTTTACATGTGTGTATATATACTAAGTATTTATATATATATACAGCTTCAGATTTTCCATTGAAAACTGTGTTGTTTTATCAGTGAATTTCCTTGGTTCTTTGTCTCACAATCTTTCCTTCAGTCCTTCCATTACAAACCTGAGAGTTCCTGTTCGAGTGAAGTGAAGCCGAGGTAGAGACAAGGGACTCTACTGACTTGACGGGTCGCAGGCGTTTGGATGAGGAAGGTGCAATATCTGCTTCAGTCACCACTGAGTCCTGAAGTGGCATAGCACAGGAACGGGTTAACAAAGGACCGGGATACTTAGCAACAAAGCCGAGACTCAATACAACGTCGGGCTTTGATAGAGGGGACCGATTTTAAAAATGTAGCCCAAATTCATTCAGGAATCCTTAACTAATCTTGCATGGGGATGGTAAAAAAAGGTTAAAACCTCATCGGAAATAGATGATTTCATCTTTGACAAGCTCTGCAATCTCTGAATTTGAGCCTACTGGAGATATTCTGCTGTCATATGGAGCAGTTATTCATAAACATATAAGGCTGCCACTGCTGTATGCCAGTGCTAAAAGATGCCTTAAGGTATTCCAGAAAGTATCTGTTAGGAATGGAAACAATTAGTGTAGAAGTACCTTTGGGTGGATTTTAAATCTGCCAGGTCCACAAAAAAGTTCATCGGGTGGATATCGGACAAAAAAGTTTAAACATCAAAAGGAAGGAGCTGGAGTTATATTCAAAATCCCTAAGGTAGACAAAATTATACCTACTGTTAGCCGCACGGACCAGGCCACTCAAGTCATCCTACATCGAAGAAAATATATGAAGTCTTGACTACCATATATTGTTAAGGGGAAAATGTATTTGACTGATAGATCTCTATGAAAAATGTGACATAAAGACCAGGATTTTCTAAACTTTTTTTTTTTTTCCAGAACACATATAGGCTGCATTCTTTTTATATTATGCAATATCATCCTAGTCATCTATATCTAATCATATCCTTCAATTATTATTCTTAATCCTATCATTTTCTTATGCTAGCACCCTAAAATGGTCTTGGTCCTAACAATACACATACAGCAGAGTTCACACAAATTTTGAATTTTCCGGATTAAATGAACAACAAAGGCTTCAACCTAATTTTGTCCCCTGCACTTTCTATTTGTTTAAAATTCTCCATATCTCAAATTGTGAAAATCTGCTTTGTTTTGTTCAAAAACTCATAAAAGAACCACACACTAAGTTCTTCTTTGTACTTAACTCTACAACAATTTGTTAAAATAAAAACTAGTTTAATGTAACCAAAACTGATGCCACTGAAAAGCAATATCTGATATACATACTTACTAATCAACTACTAAATATAAAACACTACAGTCGAATTACGTAAATCTTAATATATCAAAACCAGGAAATGCTTACTTTTTCCTACAGATGGTTTATGTTTGAGGGAATTGACAATTTAGTCAGTAAAAAAAAGGGGGGAAAAAAAAAAAAAAAAAAAAAAAAAAATCATTCACAGCAATTTTTTTTTTACAGCATTCACATTCCAAGAATATTTAGAGTGTTGCACAAAGGATGTTTATGGGTACCTAGTTGGCTAGAAATAGAAAAATACAGCAACAAAGATACTGAACACATGTAGCATATACAAAAGAAACAGTATACGAAAGACCGACTATAACTGTAGGAGAATTGTCCTAAATGTGATAAAAGTGTGGTGAGAAATAAGAACAACAGTATAAAAGAAAATAAATACAACACATAAAAGGATAAAACAATAACATAATGAGATGAGAAAAAGCAAATTAAATAAATACAATATTTAAGTATGAGCATTATCGTATATTTCATGACGTTAAGTAATGACATGAGGACTGTTAACTTCATCTACTTTATTCTCAGTGCTTCAGGTACCCTAATAACACATGTTAATTAGATTGAAAACATTTTAGAAAGATATAGTATATGCTTTATATATATATATAAATTTTAATGTATTTGAGGTTGCGTGGGTGAAAAGCACGTGTCATTAAGTGAACATTTATGCACATCTATGTGTATTTGCCTATAAGAATGTGTGTATTTACTTTAAAAAAAAATACAAGTCTATGTATATTTACCTCTAAATACTTATTGAGTGATATATGAATGTACCATCAAGTATTTCCTTAAAAAAGAGAAAAAAAGGAGGGAAGGGAAATCATAATAGCTTCTTGACAGACCCAAAAATTAACAAAGACTTACCGAGATATTGAGGTGAATATCACTGGGAGTGGAGGCTTTCCTCTGATGCTTGTGCATGCTGCGGCCCTTGCTGAAGATACTCTTCCAGCCCGACGGTGATTTTTTCTGCTTGAGACTGCCACCTTTACGACTAGGGAGTTCAATTACGGTGTGATACTTGGGGGGCAAATTCTGTGGACCACCTCCTGAAAGCAATTTTCTAATATTCACCACGAAACAACAAATTTTCACGTACAGTAAGTACTCTCATAGCGTGTCAGAGAGGAAATACCATAGCATGTTTTTATACAGCTTACCGCATAAACCCAGCCTCATTCCAGCAATCAACAAATCCATAAATACCAAACTGTCAAAGACCCAGGAAACTTACCAACATCAATGTACTTCTGATCTTGCTTTATGGCTGTGTTCAGGGCTCTTGACCTTGCCTCTTCTATCGAAATCAACTTGGTTGGGGTCGAAATGGCCAGCGACTTGGGGCGAGACTTCTTCGGTGTTCCTTCCACACCGTTCGTGGAATGCGAGAAGGTTGGGATCTTGTCGTTGAAGATAAGATCTACATAGCGCACCAAATACTCTGTCACTACAGCCTGTGTTCCTACATCCTGAAATGTTGTACGTGAAAAAAAAGTCTGTTAGTTTTATGCTTTTCTAGCCCCAAATCTGAATATAGAAACAACACACAGTGCTATGACAGAAAGAGAAAAAAAATGGCTTTCATATAAATAATTTATACATGCTTTACTCTATCAAAAAAAGTACACGAGAAAGGTATCTGTTTATATCTTTTTGTCCTTTAGCTGGTATACAAACCTTACACTTTTTTTCTCATCTCCAGTCTGTGTGTGTGTGTGTATTTGTGTGTGTGTGTGTGTGTGTGTGTGTGTGTGTGTGTGTGTGTGTGTGTGTGTGTGTGTGTGTGTGTGTGTGTGTCTGTGTGTGAGTGTGTGTGTGTGTGTGTGAGTGTGTGTGTGTGAGTGTGTGTGTGTGAGTGTGTGTGTGTGTGTGAGTGTGTGTGTGTGTGAGTGTGTGTGTGTGTGAGTGTGTGTGTGTGTGTGTGTCTGTGTGTGTGTGTGTGTGTGTGTGTGTGTGTGTGTGTGTGTGTGTGTGTGTGTGTGTGTGTGTGTGTGTGTGTGTGTGTGTGTGTGTGTGTGTGTACACCTATGAGTATATGATGTGTAGGAAATGTGTGTCTTTATGTGTGTGTTCAAGTATACATGAGTATATGTGTGTGTGTGGGGGGGGTGTTACTTGTGTTTATGCGTGTGTAGGAAGTGTTTATATGTGTGTTTGTGTACGTGCATGTGTGCTAGAACACACATACACATGTCGGCATGTGCAATGAATAGAGGTGCTCACATTTACACACATTTGTAAGTATTTATGTTTTAAAGTCAGACAGACAGTTACATGCAAAACAATTTGACTATTAAAAAACATCATGACTGCCTAGTATAAAAATCCATTGAAGTCCTTGCAGTATGCATAAACAAACATTCCTTGGTGCACCATGAATCTAACATAAGCATTATGAAGCCTAAACAACTGATCAAACAGTGAAGAAGAACATCTAGTAGTAAATGAAAAAGACCACACACCCAACTGACCTTTTTGGCTGCCTATAAAATGATTTGCATGTCAATTCAATCAAAGAATTGAGTTGGTGTTAATTTCGCATCATCGACAGAGACAAAAAACAAAAACAAAAAAAAATAGTTATAAATCTGGCAAAGCGGTGTTTTGCATCAACACCTATAGTGACAATTATCATCATTTAAAATTCATTTATGGCATCAATGTAATCACTGCATATAAGCAATATCTTATTCTGTCACCAAACAAAAGTCATAATTTTGATACACAGAAAAAAAGAAGAAGAAAATTATCTAATTATTTCTTTAGATAAATGCAAAAGAAAAAAAAAAGAAAATAAAACACGCAATTTTTTTTTATTCTTTACGGCAAGGTGGCATACAAGTTTATCATATTCTGCATCACTTCTTTTTAATTCTCTTGACTGCTCGTTATTTTATGACTATTGTAATTGCATGACTTCATAAAAATTCAGCTTTTTCTTTAAATCTCAAACAAATTGACATGTAATAACCATTAGATCTGAGCACAAAGTAGAAGTGCACAAGGAGGAGGAGAAGGACCCTTGCTCTCAACACTTAAAATCCTTCATGAATAATTTCTTCATCACCATTCCATCCAATTTTTGCATCACGTGAAGGAGTTAATAAAATCCCTTAATGACTCAGACTTAATACTTAAAGGTTCATACTTAACCAAGTGAATGTATGAACCATTCTTTAATCAATTGTCCACAAAGGATTGTCCTGTTACAGTCACATTCCCGAGTAAGGAAGGGGTGAAGGGCTAACATCTATTGTGGAACAATTATCCAAACACAGTGTCAACAGAACAATTATCCAAACAGTGTCAACATGGACATACAGTGAAAGTGTTGTACATGGATTTAATCATCCTAATTGTTTAATCATCTGACATAAAAGCAACATCAATTGCACAGTTAGAAGCTACACTGAAATAAATTTTGCATAAAGTGCTGGGAAATTAAAGTAAAATTGATGTGCAGATGATTTATCAGATTCTAGAGCTCTCAAAGCTCACCACCCTTCCAAGTGTAATTTATCATCCCTTTCTCTGTCTCCCTCTCTCTTTCTCTCCCTTTCTTTCCGCTTAGCATTGAATAATCTCCTGGAGACTCGCATTTCTACCCTCATCTCTCACCTGAAGAGCTGCGACACCACCCATGTCAAGGTCCTTTGACCGGAGGAGGTTTGGGGCCCACACAATAGCAATGTTTTTCGGCGTCATGCCCGTCTCACAGCTGTGTGCCGCTACTCTTGCCAAATGTTGCACGAGGTATTCCAGAGTTCTGAGAAGTATTAAAGAGTAATCATCTTAAAGGTTTATAAAACATTATTAGCTTCCATATCATAGTACTTGCTCTTCTATGCTCTGAAATCTTAGAACTATCATATTTCTCTGAAGTCTTGAAAGAGCAGATTCTACCCCAATAATCTAACTGAATATCAAATATACACAAAAGAACTGAAAAAAAAAAGCAATTCAAGGAAACCAACCTATAATGCGGGGGAGGCAACTGCTGAACTACATCTCTTAAATATAATAATCTGATGTCCTCATCCTGCATCACAGCTGCCACAAACTTCTCATACAATTGATAAGTCAACAAAGGGTTTGGCAGTTCTCGGAAATACATTTTGAGCACAGACGATACACAGTGGATGTCTTGTAAGATACTTTCATCTCCATACAGATCGGGTATTCTGTCCTCGTCAAAAGCATTTCTGGAAATCCCGATCACGAGGAAATTAGATACGTATTTCATTAGAAGAAAAATGACGATAAGAGTTTGATTTTCCTTTTTATAAATGCATCTTAAAACAGATTCAAATAGACCCTGAAGCGTAGACAGGGTGAAAAAATTACCTTAGTTTCTGGATATTGGATGTTATACCCGATAACCTGTAAATGCCATCCACAATGCCATGGCCTTCTAAGAACTCTGCACAACAGCGCAGCACCATTGGAATCTCATGGCCCGAGTTGAGGAGGTGCTCTCCCAGGTCACAGCCAAACACCCTCTCTCGCAAGATACCAGACTGCTTCAGCTTCCTCCGTGACGGTCTTGATAGAATGAAGCTCCTACAAATTTTGAATAAGTTCCATATTAAAAATAAGTTTGTGAAATAAAAAAGAAGATAAAAGTGAATAAGATCTTAATCATTTACTCTATGAGCTAATATAAATGCTTAAGATTTTAGTAATAAATAAACATGTTTTGTATCAAGGATTCAAAGGCTTATCAAATCATGAAACTATATTACTCTACTCCTATTAACAATTAAAGAAAACAGAAAATAAATAACCATCAAACAAACAGATATTCATATAAAATTCAGAGACCAGTTAATAATTCACCAAAGAGAAAAATCAACTATTTCCCCAGCGGCCAAATCCTACGAGGACCTCTCACCTGAAGAAAGCGATGAGTTTGCCATGCTTTCTGAGCACTGGCTTGGTAGGAGCTTGAGTGCCTGAGTGGAGCGTGTGGTGCTGGTGTCCCGAGGCCAGAGGAGGCTGAGTCCGCGCAGGGGGCAAGGTCAGGGTCTGGGGCTGGATTGTTTGTGGAACCTGAGGGGAAAGGAGGTGGATGAAATGGCATAGGAGAACACTGGGGTAAAGCTGCTTTATTGGATAATTTTACTGTTTTATACATTCACTCTCTCTATCTCTATCTCTCTCTCTCTCTTAAATTCATCCACTTTCTGTTTTATATACTCTCTCTATCTCTCTTTCTCTCTCTCTCTCTCTCTCTCTCTCTCTCTCTCTCTCTCTCTCTCTCTCTCTCTCTCTCTCTCTCTCTCTCTCTCTTAAATTCATCCACTTTCTGTTTTATATACTCTCTCTCTCTCTCTCTCTCTCTCTCTCTCTCTCTCTCTCTCTCTCTCTCTCTCTCTCTCTCTCTCTCTCTCTCTCTATCTATCTCTCTCTCTTTCTCTTTCTCTCTCTCTCTCTTAAATTCATCCACTTTCTGTTTTATATAATCTCTCTCTCTCTCTCTCTCTCTCTCTCTCTCTCTCTCTCTCTCTCTCTCTCTCTCTCTCTCTTAAATTCATCCACTTTCTGTTTTATATACTCTCTCTCTCTCTCTCTCTCTCTCTCTCTCTCTCTCTCTCTCTCTCTCTCTTAAATTCATCCACTTCCTCTTCCTATCTACTGACATACCTACACATACACAAACACAAACAAATAAACCCTCACCCCCATACATCCTGATCACTGACACGCCCACCCCTACACACACACACACAGCCTCTCCCCTCCCCTCCCCTCCCTCCCTCCCTCCCCATACCCACACCTCCCACACATACACTCCCCCCTCCCCTCCCCCCTCCTACTCTTTACCTCCAACAGAAGCCCAGAAAAAAAAAAAATATCCACAAAACCCCAAACCACAAAAACAGACACACGTACCTTATCACCGATGACCTGCACGCACTCGCAAGGGAAGAACCCGACCTGGAACCCCCGCTTGCCCCTCCACCAGATGGACTCCTCCGGCGGCGGCATGTCGATCACGCTGATCATGTCGCCCACCTGTTTGGCAGAGAGAAAAGGGGGCGGTCGTTAGTCCATTCTCAATGGTCGGTGATTTAATCTTGTTGTGACCCCGGAGGTTTATTTTAGTTTATGCCCGAGTATCCCCGGGGTTTATTCTTCGTTAGTCTGGGTATCTATGTACCCCGTGGGGAAGGGAGTTATTCATACTTTAAATAAAATTCTCCTATAAGTAATGGGGCCAGCCCTGTGTTTGTGTATACTGTAATTATGTGTATAAGCGAGTGAAGGTAAAGGTGTGTGTGTGTGTGTGTGTGTGTGTGTGTGTGTGTGTGTGTGTGTGTGTGTGTGTGTGTGTGTGTGTGTGTGTGTGTGTGTGTTTATCCGTCCTTAAGAAAAAACATTATTATATATTTAGACCAAAAGAGTAATTCTAATGTCCGTAATAAAAATAACACCAAGGACAAAATAACAGTGGCATTAACATCCCTGTTGTTATCATTTTCATCAACAGCGCTTTTTCCAAACAAAGACTTAAAGATTAACACGAAATATCCTCACTCTGGTTCTTAAAGCTGTACTGATATAAGTGTGTTCGTTCGTATGTATGTGTGTATGTATGTGTGTGTGAGTTCGTGTGTGTGTGTGTGTGTGTGTGTGTGTGTGTGTGTGTGTGTGTGTGTGTGTGTGTGTGTGTGTGTGTGTGTGTGTGTGTGTGTGTGTGTGTGTGTGTGTGTGTTGTGCGTGCGTGCATCAGAAGCGCCTGCATGTGACCGAGAGAGAAAGGACACGTTCCTGCACGCGCGAGCCCTGGCGTCTCCCGAAAAAGGAAGCATGCAAATGCCTTATCAGCGGAGCCGCCAGATAAGCGGTGCCGACTCCTTGCTCCCCGCCCTCTCATTTCCACGTGTTGCGGGGTCATGTCACGACCCCAGCCAGCGCCAAGTGGGGTCGCTCCCTTTCCCTCCCCCTCCCCCCTCTTCCCCTCCCTCCTCAGAGACAGGTAATGACACTCAGCGGATGGCATATGGCGAGGCAATCTCCACTTTCAAAACCGCTGCTGAATTTCACAAGGTGGAGGGAAATGCGAGGAGGGGGGGAGGGGACGAGAATGAGCGGCATAATACTCATTACACAAATTGGATCGGCTTGAAGGCAACACAAACGTCAAGCTGCGATAACGAAACGCGATCAAATTATCCGCGATGGGCCGCCACGCCCTCGCAACAGCCCCCGTGCCCTCGCCCCCCCACCCCCCGCCCGTGCAACTGCTCCCCCGCCCACGCCCGTGTTGTCTCCCTCGGCCTCACACACGGCAGTTCTTACGCCACGTCCTCCCTGAGACTCAGGGAAGAGGACTCAGCCATAACTAACGAATATCTCGGATATCTGTTACGAAGTTTTTTTTTTCCCCCCAAGTTTATTCTCTTTATCTGTGTTTATCTCGCTTATCCCCCCCCCCCCTCTACCCCGCCATTAGTCGAGAGTCCGGGCCAGCAGCACTCGAGGCCCGGCTGACGCTCGAGGGACAGATAAAAAGGGTGAATCACTCCTGAGATTCCGCGCTGCCTCTGATATCGCCGACGGAAGATAAGGCCGCCGTGTCTTCGTCCTCATTATCAGGTGCCGCGCGCCGCCGTCCGGCCCGAGAGCGTCCAAGTACCCGGGGCCCTCGGCTGCCCCGCTCGCTCGCCCTCGCCGTTGCGCAACGGGCTATTCCCGGAGAACATGATCCTCGGAGGCACGGCGAGGCACGCTCCCCGCTCGCGCTCGGGCCCTCTCGTCGCGCTCGAGGCCGGGGCGTCTCTGCCCAGGCCCTCGGCACTCGGGGATCTACTGGCCTTTCAGCATACTACGAGGTGTATAGATGAATAAATAAATAAATAAATAAATATACATATACATACATACAAACATACACATACACATGCACATACACACACACACACACACACACACACAAGCACACACTCACATATGTGTGTATGTGTATGTGTGTGTGTAGGTGTGTGTGTGTGTGTGTGTGTGTGTGTGTGTGTGTGTGTGTGTGTGTGTGTGTGTGTGTGTGTGTGTGTGTGTGTGTGTGTGTGTATTTTATATAAGCTCGTCAGTGTGAACAGTTATCTGTCACATGCATTCCCAACATGCTTGCAAACCTGGTAAAGTCTCCACTTCCTTGACCTAATGACAAGCCAGGCCTCAGCTTCGCTCTGCCAAATAGCCCGTATCTGATGCCCGCAGGTATGCCCATCGATTCGTCATTAACCGACCGGGCGGATAATACTTCCATTCAACATGTTGCATCCTTTTCACCGCAGACCGGTTTCGACATCGGGCTGGGAATGTTGCTACGCCTACCCCCCCCCCCTTCTCCTTTGCCACTTCCTTTGCATTCCTCCCCTAATGCAACCTTGGGAGGCGATTCGGATGGCCGCGCGGATATATATACACCTCCGTCTCGGGTAACGACGAAATTCACAGGCTTTGTCCCTCTCTTGGGAACGGGAGTCCCTAATGCCCCCCCCCCCCCTACGGATCCCCTAAACCCTATCCTTCACATGGGGATCTCACGTCTCTTTCTTCGTATGGGCAACCCCTGCCCCTATACCCCACATACATCCCCTACTCAAATTTTCCTTACCCCATCCCCCTTCCCCTCTCAATGGGTACTCTCCTCTTCCCCTCCCCATGGGCATTCTCTCCCCCTTCCCTCCGCCACTGACACCCTCCCCCATCCCCTTCCCTCCCCATGGGCACTCTCCCCCCCTCTCCTTCCCCTGACCATGGGCACCCCCTCTCCCTTTCCCTCCTCATGCCCCCTTCCCCTTCGCTCTAAGCTCGAAAACATTGCACTTTCTCTCTCCGAATCCCCAGTCTGAATATAGCCCCTCGCACGAGAACTAAATCCTACCCCCTAATCCTAATCCTAGCTCATGCCCAGGGGAGGGGGTGGGGGGAGGTGCAGCCATCAATCCCAAAATCCTGAAGTCGCTGTTTCGGTGCCAAACACTCCTCATGCAACCGCCTCTGGGCACTATAGTTACCGGAATGGGGCAAACGGCAACACCCCGGCACCCGAGGCAAACAGCAACAAAGCGAAGGGCACAAAACACCAGACGATTTACGGCCTTCCCAATGCGATCGTTTCTTTTATCTCCAAGCAACAGAAATCGGAGAGACCGGATCTTCCGGACCAGAGTAAACAGCGCGCATCCGTGAGCCTCCTCCTCCTCCTCCTCCTCCTACTCCTCTGCCACTTCTACTTCCTCCTCCTCCTCCTACGCCGTCGCCTCCTTCTCCTCCTCCTCCTCCTCTGTCCTTGCTGCCTCCTCCTCGTTCTCCTCTTCCTCCTCCTCTTCCTCTAATCTTCTTCTTCTCCTCCTCTAACTTCTCCTTCTACCTCTCCTCCTCCTCCTCCTCGTCTGTCGCTGCTGCCTCCTCCTTGTCTGTCGCTGCTGCCTCCTCCTCGTTCTCCTCTTCTCTCCTCTCTTTCTTCTCCTTCTCCTTCTTCTTCTTCTCCTCCGCCGCCGCCGCCTCCTCCAGTCTCTTCACTGTCTGGCTGACCGGTCGTCCCGTGCTGGCATTTAACCCAGGACAACAAGGGTGACTGTTGCCCGCGCTCTCCAGAGGACCTCCTCGAGGAACTCTCTGTCCTCCTCCTCCTCCTCCTCTACTTCTCGCTTTCTCTCCTCTTCTCTCCTTCCCCCCGCATCTACCCTTCTCTGTCTGTCTTCTTCTGCTACGTCCTTCTACCTTCTTTTTTCCTTTTCATATTCCTCTATTTTTCTCTTCCTCTTTCCCCTCGTCTCCCTCCATCCTCTCTCTCTCTCTCTCTCTCTCTCTCTCTCTCTCTCTCTCTCTCTCTCTCTCTCTCTCTCTCTCTCTCTCTCTCTCTCTCTCTCTCTCTCTCTCTCTCTCTCTCTCTCTCCCTCTCTCCCTCTCTCTCGTGAAGGTGCCGGGCATGTCCTGAAGGAGGGATTCCTACTGGAGCTTCCTTCGTGGTGGCAAGGCGTGTGCATGACATGGCGAGTGAGTGTGGCAGGGCGTACGAGCGCATGGCGTGTGCATGTCGGGCGTCGCGCGTGACAGGGCGTGCGAGGTAGATGGAGTGTTGCAGGCGCTGTGCATCGCTGGCAGTGCGAGGCGTGTTGCAACAAGCAGCGTGTGTTGCAGGTGGGACTCCTCGCAGGCGGTGTCTATGGCAGGTGGCGCGCAGGGCAGGTGGGAAGCGTGGCAGCCAGGTGGTGATATGCCCTGCCCTCCTACTATCTTGTGGCAGACAGGTGAGGTAATCGTGGCAGCGTGCAATGTTGCAGCTTCACCACCAATGCCCCCCCCTACCCAGCCCCCAGGAGGGTATCGGATGCCACCACGATGATATAGTGTGGTGTGTGTGTGTGTGTGTGTGTGTGTGTGTGTGTGTGTGGTGGTGTGTGTGTGTTGTGTGTGGTGTGTGTGTGTGGTGTGTGTGTGTGGTGTGTTTATAATATATAGTATATAATATATATTATATTATATATATACATCTATATATATTTTATACATTGCCTATATACATATTACATATATAACTTGCGTTGCTCTGTGTGTGCTTGCGTGTACATGTGGAGTGTGCTTGATGTCATGTGAATGCGCATGGTGCGTGTCCATGTATGGTAAGTGCGTGTAGCGTGCGTGTGAGCGTGTGCGCGTGAAGTGAGGAAAGAGGGAGAAAGCGGGGAGGATATCAAAAGCAGAAAAAAAGAGAAAGAGCGAATAAAACGACATGCAGATAAGGCGAAGAGCGCAAGAAGTAGACAGGCGATAGAAGAAGATAAGACGAGATAAGAGGAAGCGACGTGTTCGAATGAGTAACCCAAGCAAGAATGATTAAAAAAAAAAAAAAAAAAAAAAAAATCGGGCACCACAGCACAGGTTCCTCTCCAATACCTCCCCCTCCCCATCACCCCTCTCCACCCACACACAGACCTCCCCCCCCACCCCCCTCCTAGACACAGACCCTGAGTTCCAGACATCGAAACCAATCAGGCACAAA